CTTGGTTGTTTGTGTATAAGAAAGCCTCTGACTTTTGTGTGTTGATTTTATAACCTGCTACCTTGCTAAACTGGTGGATGGTTTTGATTAGTAATTATTATATTTTTTTAAAGAGCAAAAGATAAGTGCTTTATTATGAGAAATGTTCAAGTGAAATTTCAGTGTGCACCAGTGAAAGTGAAGAAAGAGTTGCATCAAATTTTTTTAATGGACACTAGGTTAAAAAGGGCTCTTTATGTCAAAACAAAACAAGTCTTGTTTTTGTTTTTGATAGATGATAATGTGGTATGTGGTATTTTTTTTTAATATATATAAGTGCCGGTTTGGCCTAACGTTTGTGCAACAAGGATCACCTAGTCTTACGCTCAAAATTATCTTTTTAATTAGTTTTGGAAATCATATCTCAAAGACCCAACAGTTGTATGTTGTTACCAACCTTGGAAATATTAGTTATTTGACAGCTTGATTGCTGTCTCATTTCATTTCCTGTGTCTGGCTTGCCAAGAGCATACAACAACAACAACAAAAATGAATGGAGAAGGGAAGAGAAGAAATCAGCCAACGTATCTATATCTGAAATAAATGAAATGGAATTATGAAACTGCCTTTGACAATATAAAGCTTTAAAATTCTAAGGCAAATCTTTGCTGCATTAGTGCTTTTAAGGGTTTTCTATTAAAGCCTTTATTTTACCTTAAACTATCAAAAAGATTGTCTGTATCTGTGTCCAAGTAGGAAATCTGTGCAAAGCCACACATTTGATGATCACAAAGATAATGGGCAACAGACAAAATTTACTATGGTAGATTGGATTTATCTGAAGAAGGAATAGAGAGTTAGAATTCAATCTCTTTGCCTACCCACATCTGATGAAACATTTCCTATAGTACTGGTCTCTATTACAATTATACAAACAGATGTGTGGCTATTCAGAGGGAAGAAGAAAATATCTGGAAAGAAAAGTAAAAAGTTCTTAAGAAAGAATGAGGACAATTCAAATCTAGGAACATTTACTAAGGACCACTGGTGTGTGAAGATTTCACATTTCAAAATAAAATTAAAATTTGTTTATGGGGATTATAACTGAGATGAAAAATGCACAAAAGATGAAGAATGATGTAAAAAGGAGAAACTAGGATTCCAGTTCTTATCTGTTCCAAAGCCTATCGTCACTCATTTTCACATACATTATCTCATTTTCAATCAAAAATTTAATGAAATAGAGTAACCTTTTTACTTGGTGATGAACTAGAGAAATTTGGGATGGTATACATGTGGATCGTGTGAGTAGCAATTAATAGGAGTTAAGAATTATGCTCATCTGCATTTTACTGAGTTATTTCTATGTACTGGGCCTATTACATATCATTTCACAACTCAATAAAGAAGTGTAATTGTCCACACAAGGCAGATGAAGAAGCCAGATCTTTGATTTCCCAGTAAGTATCCCTCCAGCAAATGACAGGCATAACCAGAGAATGATATATGAAGCTACAAATGCAAATAGTGGTGCTATAAGAAGAGAATTCCATACATTCAATGTATGAACCAAAAAAAAAAAAAAAAAACCCATGGGCCTCCAAGTGGTCTTGCCCTTGAACTGCCTCTTTATACTTGCCAACTCTCTTTAGACAGACTATAAATCAGTTTACAGCAGTAATTTGGACAAAACAATCAAAAGAAGTACATCTTCATCCTCAGAACCTACAAGGAAACAGTAGGTGTGTTCAAATTTCAATCTGAAAGCCCTGAAGGCTTTACATGACAATTTGTGCTGAGTACAAATGACCAGATGTGCCTGCCAGACTGTGATGCCCATCAGTGAAAAGAGACAAAGCCTAAGCTTTGAATACTTGGCTCCATGGGGATATTCAAGAGTAATTGATAACATAGCCTGGATCAATGTATAAGTTCAGTTAGGCTAACAGAGAAAAGGTAACCGTTTCAAAATGCCTTTAGCAACCCAGTCTGCAGATTGTTATTGGTGTGACTCTTGCTGAAACAGGTGTTGGGTTTATCAATTTGCATAACAAAATGTTTTTCTTGTGGCAGCAGCCCATACAATAATTGGTGCCATCTGTATTTATCTGTTCAAGTTTGGGTTCTAATATGAATACAAAGAATGTTGTGCTGTCTAATTTCATAGCCACCATTTTAGTCCAAGGGTGCTTGATATTGGAGAGAAGTTCATTTCTAAGGATAATACAAATGGTCATTTCATTTTTGGCTACTTAAAACAAAAATCAAGGCCTCACTACGTAACAGCTCCTTCAGGAAAGATCCAGCTAGAAATGAAAACCAACAGGCTGTTAACACATTGCCAATACTCTTGAAAAGTACTGCTTCCACTAGACCCTCTCTTCACTGGGAATTTTCTGTCCTTACCTCTTAACCAATTACTTGAAATTAGCCTGGCATCACCTTGTTCTGGTTCAACTCTTTTCTTACCTGAAGATGCAAAAATCTTGAGTTGTAGCTTTGTCTTGGATTGATTTCTAATGAAGGAAGGAAAAATAGAAAATTGAAGGAAAACTGAAAGGCAACAATGAAACATTTTCATAAGGTATATCCTAGAACCATAAACACAGTTATTTTCAGTCAACCATAGGTCAACTTTAGTGTCTACTATTTTAAGCCAATTGCAAGCCTTTAACATAAGCAACTATTTTAGGTGACCTACATAGGTACTCTTCAATGTTTTGTATATTTAAACCACAGGTCCATGATGATCTTTATGAACTAAAGGAAAAATTAACAAGTTTCCCACTTGAAGAAAAAGGAAGGACTCTAGACATTCAGGATCTCGAAGCAGCAATCAAAAGGACTGAAATGGGATTAAGAGTAAGTAGAACTTTAGATGTGAAATAAAATACTAAAAGGAGACAATGATTCCTCCAAAAGAGAATTCCTATCCTCACATGACCCTCATGTAAATCCCTAACAGAGATCTTGCTTTAAATTATGATTAATAAGTGATTGATTTATAACAATTCACAGTCCACAAATTAAGATGGTACTCATGTAAGATTATGCAGTGATTACTCTCAAATGTGTTTTGATCCTAAATTTCAATTGTTTAATTAAAATTTTTATAAATTTGCACATGGTCCAGATGAGGATCATCTCCATCTTCTAGACCTGTAACTGTCTCTGCTCTTGCTTCAGACTTTACCTACTTGTTATAAGCTTTGTTACTCAGCTCCTGAGGCTGTGAGAGATGTAATATACATTGTAACCTCATCAAACCAGCACACCATTGTCCTATATTACTGGATGGACCCAGCTGGAGTCTTTGGGTTGGCCGTTTTAAATAATCTGTTACCTAAAGGCCAAATACTTTCCTTGGATGCTGGCTTGAAATCTCTAAGAGAAAGCTATTACACCATGTCCATATTGCCTAGTAAATTCACCTGGCTAAGCAATTTCCTAACATTGTATATGGTTTCATTTGTGGAGAGTGCTACCGGTCACTCAAGCTTTGAGTCTCAGTTGTTTATTATGCTTTTTGGGATAGTGAAAGTAATTTGGCCTTGAAATGCCTAATGGTACCTTAGGCGTGTAATAAATGAATAGCATGTTGTGTCTTTTGGCTTAATTACACGATTCAGAGTGTTAACCTAATGAAATGGAGTTAATTAGCTGAGTATCTTAAGTCCACCATAATGGCCTAAACTTTAACTTTTCTGTAACAGATTCACATTGAGAAGTATTTAAATGTTGTAAACCATCGCGTGTTAATGACTCCTATTGAGGATGATAACTTATATTCTTCTCAGCCTTCCAAATGGTAAGTAAAATAGGTATTTCAAGTTTCTAAGTAAGTACAATAAAAACAAACAAAAAATAAAACCTCCTCACCCAGGTCAGATAACTATGAAGATAAAGTTTACCTGTTTTTGTTCATACCCATTCTAAATGGCAGAAACTGCACTTTAATAAAGTTTATTCTAGGTTATTTTCATTGAGTTCTAATGCTTGATCCCATGACAATTACTGCAGGGCCCTAGTTTTGACTCTTTAGTTTTATTGAATGGTATCCAAAATTTAACTGCTAGAGGAATTATCTTACTAAAAATCAATTTTTAATTATTCTAATCACTTGATATTTTCTTTGCAATTTTTATCCTGGCATAGGTGTTTTATTGTAAAGATGCTTTGGATAAACAAAACAAAAATAAAAACTTGCTTGAAATATTCATTATGTTATACATCTCAAGAGATATGTGATAAAACTAGAATGAGTTGAAGAGAAGTGACCTTGCCTTACTTTGAACCTTCTTAGTATAGACCTCCTGAATGTGAGTGAATGTATATTAAGGTTTTGTACTCAGCTTTAAAGCCCTGTGGCCCTTATTTGCATTGCAAATATACCAAGCATAAGTGAATAATAACAGACAGTTAGGTCAACTTTCAGAAAAAGTCCAAGAAATCATGGAAACCAATAGACAGAAAGTTCCTGTTCTCAGTAGTGAAAGTGGAGCCTTTGGGTGGCTCTTGTACCTTCTCCTCTCTGACTTGAAGGTGGTATCGTAGGCATCAATCATCCCTTAGTAGAGGCAACCCTCTGTCATTTATATCTTTGATGTTTAAATTGGGAATGCAAGCATGACATGCAAATAAGTTAATATGCACAATCTCTTAAAAACAAATCTGTAGGGAAGACAATAAAAGGAATTCTTGAAGAAGACAATATTAGAAGTTAGTTACCAACTTACATTGACTCTTGGCTCAAACTCAAGGTAGCCCTGGAGAGGGAGGCCAGTAGAGATGGCAGCTAGGGGATCTGTACAGGTGGCCAAAGTATGTGGCAAATACCTGAGCATACATATAGCAAACAAGAGAGCCTCAGAATAGAAGAGGTGAGGAAGTGAACTAGAGAAGAGATTTCTGTCACCAGCTCTAATGAAAATCTGTCTCCTCTTTCCAGTTTGCTCTTTGTCCCTTTATCTTGAAAAAGGGTAGTCTGAGCTATAGATTTTTCAGGGTATGATAACATGCTAACAGTGGCAGACACAGAGAATCAAGCTGTAAGTTCCTGGTAGAGACCTTTTCTTGCAGTTTTTCTCCCTTACCAAGCAGTGTCCCGACCTCCTATGCTTGTCTAGAAAAGTGAAGGAAGATATTGGGGCATGGATTTTGTTCCCAGGTGTGATCCTTGGATACTTTCTTTCCTATTCAGTCCAATAGTATAGTCACTGGCAGCAGCATCTCAGTCATAGCTATGGATGGGGCTCAAGTGGCATGCAATTTGAAAAGGAAATGAGGTGGGCCAACGGCAAAAACTGAAGTGAAGTCTAAAGTGGGTCTTCAAAGTTAAGCAAGTCCCTGGAGTCAAAGTGTGAGTCCCAAGTGGCTGAAGGAGGAAGAAAAGCAGCAGCAGTAGTAAATAGAAATGGAAAATGGATAAGGACCCCTGATAGAGCGTCACAGCCGGGCCTACTCGCAGGAACACCTCACAAATAGACTTGACTTCAAAGTCTGCTGTGGCCAACTAGGAATCATATGCCAAGCAGGTTATAGAACCCAGAATTTGTTTGGTTCTCACACCTGGGAGGAGTCAGACTGACCAAGTCATTGCACTTTTTCTTCTGATGTTCCTTGATAAGCTAGGGTGTCTTTTCATTACCGTTGGCATGACTCACAGAGGAACAGGCTACTAATGTCAACATTGAGTCAGGTCAGAGGGGAGACCGAGTCATGAAAGTTTTGAGCTGGGACAGAACATTTTACTCCAAATGGCTATCAGCCAAAGAATGTGGGCATGTACCCACAAGGTAGGTATGTTTACTTATTGATAAATTATACACTTATTTCACAGAGTGAATATATTCTAAAACAGTGGGTTGTTGGAATGGTCATGATGTACTTTATTACACAAAAAATGTATCTGGACTTTTCTGACAACCCAATATATAACAGAATTTTAAATGAGATAAAGGTGAAATAAGCATTTAAAATGTTTTCTCTGTTAACAGAAAAAACTTTCCTCTTGTTTAAAAAAGCTTGTTAATTATAATATTCTTATTTAATCTTGTTAACCATGATGCTTCATACTTGCTGTTGCTTATATCCCAAAGCATACTCTATATTTAGGTGAGAATCAGCATGAATGCTGGTTGAATATTCACACAAAAATCCATATTTCTATCCAACTTTTGAATAATTTTTAAGTTTTTTTTTTTTTTTGCTTTTTGGCTAATTATAAATTCAACTGGATTATCATCATTTTTACTTTCTAATATGGCTGAAGAAAAGGTCACTAGGAGTAAAAATTCTATTTTTTTGTTGTGCACTGATGCTTAAACCATCTTCAAAATACAATTAATTAGTTTTACTTTATTTTTTTATTGTATTATCCTTGTTGAGGTAGCAATGGTTTACAACACTGTATGTAATTTAGGGGTATAGGTGTGTTTATAGTGCCACATTTTTGTTTACAGTCTTTTGAAGATACTTGTTCATTTTTTCATTCTTAATTCAAGCTAAATAACAGAATCCATAAACCCATTATACTGGTAAAGTGTGTATACTATAAATTCCTGAAAGCAGATGTGCCAAAGATGGCCTTTGTAGGGTACAGCTCCCACTCTCAGGAGGCCTCCAGAGTTGCAGGTGACATGACTTTGTGGGGGACCCAGTGACAAACTGAATATATTAAATAGTAGTGTAAATGATTCTTCATGTTACATAAATAGAAATTCTTAGACTCTCTTCACATGCCCAGTGGCATTGTTTTATGTATCACCTGGGATGTGAGAACACTATTTAAGGGACCATATGTCTAGAGTGATGGTTCTCAAACTTTTACAGTCCTTTCTCTGGCTCCCCAATAGAGACCTGGAATCTGCATTTAACAAACATTCTTGGTGTTCCTAATACAGTTTTTGTGATCTTTGGGATCCACATGGTTCTTTGGAATCAATATTCTTTGTGCCTCAGCGGGGTCCTGCCATTGCTTGGTGAAGAAATATTGGTGCTAAGAAATCTGTTACTCCATTGTTATGAAGGTTGGATTGAGCCAGGTGTGGGGCCTGGCAAACAGGCTGGTAGGACAGTCGTTATCTCTCAAAATATAAATCTGTTGTATGTCAGAGGCCAAAAGCTCAAAACAACAACTTATTCTGATGGAGGGGCCATATTATAACAGAACTCTGTTATTTCTTTGACAGCAGAGGAAGTTCCTATGAGTAACTAAGAACCAACAATTATTCAGATATCTGGGTTTCATTCTAGTTATGGAAGCCAAGAGAGTTCATTCTTGATACACTCTTAACAATGACTTAGGACAACATCCAATAGTTGTTCTTATTATCATGAATTTTTATCATCAATATTTTCATAACACTTGGCAGTTTGCAAAAGACTTAAAAAAAATCTATGAAGTAGGTAACTACACTTTCCTTTTAAAGATGAGCAAACTGAGACTTTACTAGTTCCAGGTCGCACAGGTTGGTGAGGTCCAGGTTCAGTCTAGCCAAATGTCTGCAACATAGTAGTCTTCCACCCCATAATTGCCTGAAAACCAGAATCACAATTTGCACAAAAGATTATTGTCTTTTTTAGCAAGTATTGTTCACAGAAAAATCTGGTAGCTTTGTCTAATAGAGACAAAAAACAGTAGGTATACAAAATAATAATGATGGATGCCAGCAAATGCAAGATATTCCTAGCTGTCATTCAGAAAACAATGATAAGGACATTATCAAAAATGGCATATTTTCTGTGCAAAATGATGTAAAAATAAACTTTAAAAAAATGGCATATTTTCTCCAAAGAACTCAAAGTGCTCTTGGATTATTTTCAAAATAGGTTTCACTATTATCCCCACTTTGGCAATGTTTTTCTTCTATGCCTACGTGTGGTTTTCCTCTCATCATTGCTGGTCTTCACAAATTTTATCTGCTCACACTGTTCTTAATGACCACGTTTTGCTTATTGACACTAGGAGGGTGACTGCCATCTGTACCAACATTATCAGAACTGCACAGAAATCTTCATTTTATACTCTGTTGGAGAGGGGTGTGGGCAAAAACAAAGCAAATAAATAATAGAGAAAAAATAAGAGGGAAAGAAGAGCCTTCTGTTGAATCTATACTGGTGAGTGTAGATTAAGAGGTGCATTACCATTCAATTATTGAAACACCTTGGAACAAATCTATTCTGGATTTTTTACAAAGCAGCACACACATCTCATGCCTATAGAACATGACTGCATTCTAATAACAGAGAGAAAGGTGACGCACAGGTAACCTACGATGTTAATACTAGGTAACCTAGTATCAAGGTAGATAAGTATTGTTCTTTCATTTTCCTGTGGGTTTGAAATTTTGCAACAAAAATATTTAAGCATCATAAGTTAAAAAATAATAAACTGGAAAAAAAACATTTGAACAGGTATTATACCAAAAATTGCTAATCTTAAAACAAAGAGCTCTTGCCAATTAAAAAAACAAACAAACAAACAAAACTTGACATAGACAAAAGGCCATGAACAGACTACTGACAGAGATCAAAATTTGAATTTGAACGGTTAAGAGAGGGAGGCAAATCAGTTAGGGGCCTTGGGACAAAAAGAAGTACAAGGTGACTAGGTTCCTGGATTTTTGCTTTTCCTAATATACCTCCTATCTGACCTGCATAAATTTCCTTCTCTGAAGAATTCTTTCAACATTTATTTCAAGACCAGTCTTATAACAAATTTTCTTCATTTGTGTCTGAGCACATTCCATTTCTCCTCCACTTTTGATGAATAATTTCACTGGATATAGAATACTGAATTGCTAGGTTTTTTCTTTCCAGACTTCTAATATTCACTTCATGTTTGCATAGTTTATGATGAGAAATCTGGGTATAATTTTTAGGCTTCTTTCTCTGTAGTTGTTTTTTCTTTATCTTCTTGTTACTGGTTTTCCATAGCTTGAATATCATAGGCCTAGGTGGAATTTTTTGGGAATTCATTCTGCTTGGTTTGCTCAGAGCTTCCTGCATCTGTGGCTTGGTGTCTGCCATTCATTTTGGAAAATTTTCAGTTCTTCATACTCAAAGATTTTTTTCTGTTCCTTTCTTCTTTTTCTGACATTTACCTTATATGTATCTTACACTTCTTGTGATTGTACCATGAGTCGTGGATGTCTTATTATGTTTCTTTTCTTTGCCTTTCAGTTTATTTGGACATTTCTTCAAACTCACTGATTCTTTCTTTTGTTGTGTCCAGGGTATTGATAAGTTCCTGAAGGGAATTTTATTTTTCAGTATAAGTGACTTCTAACATTTCATTTTGATTCTTTCTAAGAGTTTCAAACTCTGCTTACCCATCTGTTCTTGCATATTGTCTACTTTTTCAATTAGAGCCTTTAGCATATTAATCAGTTATTTTAATATTCTGGTCTACTAATCACCACATCTCCTTTATGTCTGAATCTAATTCTAAACTTTGCTTTGTCTCATCAGGCTGCTTTTTCTTGCCTTGTAACTTTTTATTGAAAAATGGATCATGATCTATTGAGTAATAGGAACAGTGGTTAGCAGAACTTTGTTTTAGCTATAGTTACACTGGTTTGTTATTTGCTATAACTGTAAGTGTCTGAGACTTCAATTTCCTCCACTGTCTTTGTTTTTGTCTTCCCTACAAACATTGGTTTCTCTAGAAACTCTTTTTCCAGTAGGGTCTGGGCCTTGCTATCTCTGCAGTCCTCAGTTGTCCAGATGCTCTGTAGATGCAGTGGGAAAGTGTGTTTGGAAGAAACGTTCAATAATCCTATGATGAAGTCTCAGTCTTTTAGTTGGTATGTGCCCCTGGACTGTTAGCTTTGCAGGCCATTCTCAGTGTTTTCCCTTCTTAGGTGAGACAGGGAAAAAAAACAGAGGGAATTAAGAGTTTGCTAATTGCCTTTTTTTCAGGTACAAGAATGCTTTGGAAAAATAGTTTTCTTGAGAGGTGGCCTTCATTACAGAAGATAGAAGACTAGAACTCTGTAAGAGTCTTTCCTTTCCCCCATCAGAAGCAGGGGAAATTTTTTTCTGATCTTCACAGTGAGAATATGATGGGAGAGGTAAAATTCACAAAAGTATGCAAACCCCCCCCCATAAACTTGGCCCCCTAGAGTTTTGATTCTCAAGATAATCCACACTGAGTGTCCAGCACTAGCTCAAACAGGAGACTGTCCCTCTCAGAGTTTTTTCACCTCTCTCTCCAGTTTTCTGGACAACTGTTTGTCTTGAAATTTCAATTCTCTGATGAATCTAAAGAGTTGTTTTTCAGTTTACCCAGATTTTTCCTTGTTGTGAAGTTGAGAACAATAACTTCTTTACTTGTTGGAATAAAACCAGACATACAAAATTTGCTTCTTAAATTACTTTACAAAAGTAGGTATCACCATACACCTGCCAAAAAGTCAAGTCATTGGTAGTCAGGTTTTATTGATCTTAATAATGTTGACAATTTTAGGGAACTGGAACTGGCTTTGAAATTAGAATTTTTAAGACATAACATTACATACACATACTTATTCTTATAGCTTTATTTTGCTTTTACACTGTTTCTCCCACGGAACTGCCCACTGCTTAATAACCCCCTTTGCTCCTTAAGTCTGCAATTATGTAAAATAGGAGAGAGTTAAAGAATGTAAGTATACTTGCTTAGGAATCAGAGTTTTGAATATATTGAACACTAACTATACTGTGATTTGATTTTATTAAACAAAATAGAGCATTATGCATTTTTTCTTTACCAAGAAATATTTTATAGTGTAGTAATTCTTTCATTTCTGAATCATATAAACTCAGCCAGAGATAGCACTTTTTATTCATGCTATAATGGTTTTTATCAGACTTGGAAGTTCTAATGCTTAATAAACAACTGCAAATTTATAGTGGTAAAATGCTAAAGACTGGTCTAATTTATTGCAATTACCAATAGAATATTTCCTATAAAATGTAACTGTGCTAGAATGCATTGCTTTTTAATTATAATTTATTAAGTTTTTAAGATATCAAACTTGGTTTAATATCTTTTTAACTTAGGTATCTTCCAGCTGTACTTGATCAGAAGTCATTTGTTTTCCCTGTGGAATCTGAGGGTAGACTTTGGCAACCCCCAAAACAGCACACATCATTCCCACATGGCTTTTCAAGAATAAAGGTAGGAACAGAGAAATCCAAAGAGGTAGAAAGACAATTAGTGGTTATCAGAGGCTGCAAGGAGGGGATATTAGAGAATACTTCTAAGGGCATCAAGTTTCTTTTGGGGATAATGAAAATGTTCTGGAGTAAGGCGTGATTGCTATACCATCCTGTGAATATACAAACACTTTGACTCATGGTTTGAAAGGGAGACTTTTAAAGTATATCAGTTATATTTCAGTAAAACTGTTAGAAAAAATGAAGAGTGAAATTAGGAAACTTGCTTTGTGTTATAAATGAGAAAACATGTTATTGTTCAGTCAGATATGTTTATGGCACAGTCAACTTCAGTGACAAAAGCTTTTTTCCAGAAAGAAAAGTAAATCAAAAGAGAATGCTTTCAAATTTTTGAACACAGACCTAGAAGCGAAATTTTGAGGGGACAAGGAATGGCAATCAAGATGTTTCTAAGCTTACCTCTACTGGGTGATCTTTCAGTTTGGTTCTTGTTCTCTGCCTGACTCCCCCAAAGTGATAATAGCATAGCTTGCTAGGGTGTCTGGCACTGTCATCAGTATTTGGGAATACTGACTTGTTGCCTTCAAAACAATCCTAGAAGGAGGTGTTAATATAGGTGTTTTCATGTCATCAGTGAAAACGTCAAGATACAGAAATGTTAAATAATTTGCTCTGGAGAATACAGCTAGTGTATGTCAGCACATGGATTATGAACCCAAAATGAAGGGCTCTTAGCCATTGTGGTGCTCATTTTTAATAAAAGCATTTATTGAAATAGAATTTACATGCCATAAAATTCACCTTTTTAAAGAGCTTACGTTCTAGGTTTTTAAAGTGTTAATTCAGTGGTCTTTAGTATACTTACTGAGATGTGCAGCCAACACCTAACTATAGTAGCCTGCACTTTTTCTTCATCTTCATCACATGTGCCACAATTTGCAATTAGATACTGAGTTGTATGACTTTGTTTAGTTTTGTTTTGATGTCCATTCTCCCTCTGGGTTATAAATTTACTGAGGGCAGGCAGGCCCCATGTCAACAACTTATGCATTGCTGTATAATACAAGAGGACTCTCAATGAATGTTTGCTGAATGAATAATGAAACCACCACAGTGACCTCTCAGGATGTGTTCATCATGTAAATTATCAATCTGGGCTCCTCTACACTTACAGAGCAGCCCATTCCTCCCTTGGGTTTGTTCACTGGGTTTGTTCAGCCTCTCTATAGGTTCTTACTGTGTACCAAGCCTGCTGGTGGTATGTTAGCATTAACAATCCAGGTGCTGCTCTCAGGAGCTTACATTCTAGTGGGGAGAAGACTTCCGCGGATAAGAAAATACAAGATAATAAGAAATGTTTTGATGAAAATAAAACCACACTGCTACAAAAGCAGCCAAGACTTCTCATCTTCCTTACTATTAAATACCTACATTTAGTTAAATTTAAAATTTTTTGTCAAGGGTCTAGGGGGACAATTAGAACAATTGTAGAAAATAGTTCCTATTCTTATTCCAGAAATTAAAAAAGAAAAAACTGTGGTCAGAAATGTATTTCCTCAAAAGAACTTCCTTAAAATTATTATCTTATAAAAACCCTTATCTTAAGAATTTCCTTACAATTTTTATAAAAATTCTTATCTTACAAAGATAAGAAATCTTGTATGCTGAACCTAACTGTGTTCTTTCAAATGCTGTGAGAGTAAGTGAGCTTCACTTAGAAAGGGGCATGGGCTGTTTCCCACCTGACTTCACCTCCAGGGCCTGGATCCCTATAGCTGTTTTATTTCTAATATCAGTGACATCTGTTTAAAAATGCATAACCACTGACACAAAAGATAGCCCTGATTTTGCTTTGCAAAGTCAATGACAAAGAGCACTGTTTTGCCAGCTGTTCTGCAAGCCTTCTATACCAACTCGAAAGCTGGTATTATTAAGTAGTAGTGAAACCCAACTGGGATATTACCACCTTTAATTGCTCACTTCCACATTTTAAACTAAGGTAAAACCCCAGTTGCTTCCTTAAGTGGTCTTTCTCCAAAAGTGGATAACTGTTTTTGGATTCCAATTCACAAAAAATTTAGGTGATAAACCATTAGGAATTGTTCAATCATAAATGAGAATAATAATTAGTAATTGTTTACTAATCTTCTGTATTTCAAAAAGCACACTCAGAAACATAACTTAAGCATGTACATTTACATTAGACTTAAACTTTTGAGGTTTTTTTTGTTTGTTTGTTTTTAAAAAGTAGCAGGTAGAAGTGGGCTATAAAGTACTTCTTTGAGATTTGCAGATAACTGAACAAAGCGAACATTGACTGTGTTTACTTGTTATTTGATTTTTTTCCTCCAAATTTAAAGTTAGTAAATGTTTGTAACTAGGTAAAAAGCATAAAATAAAGATGTAAAACGCAAAGCTAACTGGTCCACCCCTGGTCTATACCACCTGTCTGATCTCCCATGAGCTAATCAATGGTAATAGACTGGCTTAAAGCTGTCCACACATTTCTCTTTGTTCCTAACACATACACAATATGAGCACATCTGTGGATATGTAGGGTTTCAGATGGTTGGGAACTTTTTTGTTTTTATTGGAAAATATGACATTTTGAATTGTGAAAAATAAAAGCCACTTAAAAATGTTTTATTCATAAAAGCTGTAGTCATACAAATATCTGCATAAAACATCTGCTATTTTAAAACTAAGCTACTATGAAACAAAACACAGTACAGGATATTGTGACATACTTCAGAGCCTTTTCTACTGAATACCCCTGACACTAAAGGAGGGAAAGTGTGACCCCTTTACATTCTAGGGTTCAGCCTAAAGAGAGAACCCTAGGCCAGGCAGGGAAATCTTTAATATCTCATGTTTATCATACAGAGATAGATGAATTTTACATTACATTCCATCATAGAGCTCTACACCACACACAAACACACACACACACACACACACACACACACACACCCCTCACTCTAGAGACAGCAGATTTTACCCTCAAAACATCAAAACATTCAGGTGAAACTGATACCCTAGGAATGTGCCTCATGCCAGTTATGTTCCTCAGAGGACCCCAGCACACTACTGTATATTCCTAGCAGAGGACTGCATAGCATTCATTCATTCATTCACTCACTCAGCAAGTGTTTATTGATGCCCTTCGATGTGTTGCACACTCTATTCCCCTACTCACTGGAGGCAATTAAGTGGAAGAGATCGGCAAATAGTACACAATTATGAAATTGTGAAAGATACTATAATGAGCAGGTTGGTGGATATGGGTATGAACAAAGGTAGCCCACACACACTGATAATGAAATGTAACTAGAAGTGAATCTGACAAAATAAGATCTAAAAATGTACCCTAAGGTATATCCTAAAAAATATTATTAGACTATGAAAGCATAGTACAGATATTTGTTGCAGTTTGTTTACAATAACAAAAATGGAAACAATCTACATGCTTATTGATAGAATGTGGTTAAAATATGTATGATGTCTCCATATAACATGATACTAGTTAGCTTAGACTATGACATGGGAAAATGTTCATGATATCTTTCTTAAGCGAAAATTTAAAGATTTAAAACAGTGAAGATCCTATTTTTGTAACTGCACATAGGTTTGCATGTACCTATAGAAAAATACCCTATAAAGATAACTAGTAAATATAGATAACAATGCTATAATGGGAAAAGTACAGGGTCCTATTGGAACATCTAGGACACCCAACTCACACTGAGGAATAATATTAAACTGTTTCTTAGTTGAAAATAGAAAATCAATGGGGTTAACCATTGGGGAAGTTTGGGGAGGATGAGCAGAGTTTCTAAGTTGGGGACATATATAAAATGTTAGCAAAACTGAGAGTAATTCAGTCTGCTGAAACATGTCAGGAAGGAGATTGAAGGATGTAGTCAGAGGGGTAAATGTTCCTGTGAGCTTAGATCCAGGGACATAAGACTAATTCAGTTCCTGACAAGGTTAATCCTGGGTTACTTATGAGATCTCTAAAAGGAAGTGAATGATTTCCTCTTTATGCCCCTATTCATAAAGAGTGTAGAAGAATCATATGAGAATAGTGAATAAAGAATAATAAGTACAATAATCTATAGATTTTCTGTGATAAATATTTATGAAGTTGTTCAATATTTATGAAGTGTTCGAACTTATATCTAGTCCAGACTAATAGACATAATTACCTTTTCAGCAGGAAAAAATTTATTTATACACACAAATAAAATTACCTTTTTATATTTATTTTTAAAAATTACTTTATGGTGTGATGAAAGTATTAGAGGGATCAAAACAATTAGGAGGCAACTGCAATAATATAAACAAGAGATGATGGTGTTAGCAAGAGTGATAGTGAAGGGGTGGACACTATAAGACTGAATGAAGAGAATTAGAAAAGTATTTGAGGATAAGTGGTAAAATTCAGGGATGATATTAATATTTTGTCTCTAGCAAAAATCTTGTGTTATTTTCCAAAATAGGGGAAGGTAGGATATATAACATTTCTGTTTCTATTTGAGCTAACATAAAATCATACAAGTTAGGGGAAATCAATTAATCTTGGCCATTAATTACATGGACATTAGGGTTTTTTTTTCTTTAAAGATTTATTTATTTGTGCATACAGAACTGGGGTACAGGCCAGAGGCTCAGGGGCAGCGAGAGGCTTCACCAGAGACAGAGCGGGGAGCAGAACAGGCAGATCAATGAAGTACACTGCTGAGGGGAGCAGTGGGCGGGCCAGGAGAGGTCTGCCGCGCCATGTGGTCACCTCCAGGGCAGGTGGGAGTTGAACTCATGCTCAGTGCTGTGCTTTAACCCGCTGCGCCACCAGGGAGGGCCAGCAATAGGGTTTTAAAGATTATAGAAGCTGGAGGCAGAATTTGGAAGCATCATCAACCCTTATGGTAATCTGGATATGAGATGGTGAAGGTTTGAATTACTGTGACTTGAAGAGGGACTGATTCTCATGTCCATTATGAT